GGTATCTGGAGGCCGGTGGGGGGGGGGGGGGCTCTAGGACCCCCAGCATCCCAGAGTTCTCTGTTCTTCCTCCCCTCTTCCCCATCAAGGGGGAGGGATAGAGCTAACAGCTGGCTCCCTGACAGCTGATGGCAAGTAATGCTGCATCTCTGCTCCCTGTGGCAACTGTTACAGTGCCACTCTGCCAAACAGCTGATTGGTGGCTGATCAGCCGTTTAGCAAAGCAGCTCTGTAACAGCTCTGTTGGCTGCAGTGGCTCTGCCAGTACTCCACTCCCCCTCTCTGCCTAGGGGCGAGGGAAATGAAAGAGCAGGCCCCTGCCTGGAGAGTGCACCTTTAAGGCAATTTCACTTGCTCCAGCCAGGGGCCTGTGCAGGCACTTGAACATATGGACACACCTGTCACACTGAGGTTTTTTTTGTAGCGCTACCAAGTTCCCCAGCCCTTGTAGCACTACGAAATTAACATGTGTCCAAGGCCTGCTATATTTGCCAGCCTGAAGTGGAGTGACAGCCTACAGCCTTGACCAGCCAGTTTTGTTATCCTTCTTCTCTTAACATGGACTAAAATTTTCAGAAGGGCTTAAGCTCCTTCTTCAGTGCTTCAGTGAGATGAGAAGAAGTCTACAATCCTGTCTCTGCCTTGCTATAGCAGCAGTTAAGTTAGTGTTACATTAGCAAGCTTAGGTGTACTGTTAGTTCAGAGGGATCTGAATGCTTAAGTGACCATTGTGCCTTTAAAACTCTCTAAGTCATTCTTAGATGGGACTTCAGTGCCTGTGATATTTAGAGACTTTTTACCCTGGGCTTATAACAAATATAAAAAAAATATAGGAACTAGAGTCTGTGAGCTAGTCAGGTCCCCTTGCCCCCACTCCAGTTGCCAATGCAGAATGTAAAGGACATTCTTAAGTATTCTGTGCCATCTAGGCTTAAGTGACAGAGAGAAAGATTTCACCAGTGGGGGACTATTCCACCCGCCAGCTGAGCAGACCTCACTATTGTGGCATGTTTCCTGCTATTTAGCCCAAATTGCTTTTCTACTTCCTCCTGTCATTTTTAACAAGGCCACATTAGAGCAGTCTAAACAATTCCTGTCCCCACTGCTGTTTATCCCTCAGCTACATGGAGTCTAAGCACACCTCCCACCCTCTCGTTTTCTTGGCAAGTTCCACAGACTTGGTTCTGATCTTTCCTCTCCAGCTTTTCCTTTGTTATTGTGGCAGTGTTTTGAACTCTGATCAAACCTGGCCTACAAATCCTTGTGGGATTTTGTCAACGGGTGCAATGTATCCGTATCTCTTTTCCCAAACCACTGCCCACTTCCTTGTATTTGTCTGCCATGCCTTGATGGGAACAAAATAAAGGGAAGCTGACTGGTGAAACAAAATGGGAACAGCATTTTCTCAGCAAAGAAGATATGTTCTCTTCACAGGGCTACGCCTCTCTTATACCCTGCCCTTACTACACTTGTTGGGTGGACCTATGATTTCCCAATGATGTCTGAGCCACATGGCTCTTGGCTTGACTAGTCGTGCAGCCCTACCCCAGGCCTTTCCGGCCATGAGCTCTTCAGGGTACTCTTTACTCACATCTCTTATTTTCTATGTACAGTAAAAGCCGCATTATCTGGCACTTCATTAACCGATATGCCGGTGGACACGGCAAAAGTGAAAGCAGAAGTGGGACTTCCGGTTTTGCCAAGTCCCACTTTGGGCCATGGCCCAGGGCAAAGCAGCCTGCGCAGGGCCCCTCTCCCTGTCCCCTGGCACACTGATGCACCTCCTGCACCGGACATGGCAGGAGGGGTGTCTTTGCCTGACGCCTCTCAGGTAACCAGCATAATTGATTATCTGGCACCCTATTCCCCATGGGTGCAGGATAACAGAGCTTTTGCTGTAGTCCCTTTTTCTTGGAACTTGTCAGTTTTCTTGTCTACATCCCCCCCAGCCATATCTCATCCATGGCTTCCTGGGCAGTGCCCTGCTAGCTGGCATCATCATCACTGGTTTGCCCATTCCAGGGACAGGTTTCCCAGAGAGACCTTCATAGCCATTACCTATGCACAGTCTTACCCCATGTCCTGTGTCTGACACTGGTGGGTTGTGTGTTCAGCTTTCTTTTGCCAGCTATCCTTCACCGGTTTGTTTCCATCCTGGAGTTCACTCTGGGCTCAGACCCAGGTTCAAGTTGCTGTAGATCAATTTCTCTGTGCCTCTGTACAGACGGGACAGGCACTGCTCCCTTCTGTACAGAAGACACTACATTCATTCCCCTCTCCAGGGGTCTGCAGGCCTCAGCCCTTACACTTTTAAATCTGCTGGGCCTCCTAAGGTCCAATCATTTCCTGCTTCCCCATCACGTGGTTGCTGGCAGCTGGGGATTGCTGGAAGCCAAGGTTTGCCAGCACTTCCAGGTTCCCTTCTGGCCATGCTGTTAATGGCAGCAGTGACCCGGCGTGACCCCCAGGCTGGATTGGGCAGGGATCCAGCTGGCCTGATAAAGGAACTGGCTCCCTGCTGTGTCCAGGTGAGTCTGCCGGTGACAGTGGGGCTTCGGCGCAGCTCTGGGGTAAGGAGTGGCAAGCCCAGGTGTGCCCGGGAGCCAGCTTGTAACAAGGGCCAGGAGTTGGCTCCCTGTTACAGATATAATCAGATTTCCACCCAGATGTTACTTTAGTTTCCCCATCCACCCCTGAGTTTTGTTTTCTCTTTCGTGTTTGTGGCTGTCTCCTAATCCATCAGAGGACACTTCACATAAATTGCCTTATAAACAATGAGGATGTTGGGTCCTACATTTATGTAGAGAAGGAGCTAGGATTCTTATGTATGTTATCTTCAGGAATTGGAATGATTTTCATCTGATGGCAGGAGCTGGATTCTGCTGATTACTTTGGCCTCAGCAGCCCCCTTTTTAGATGGGAAAAGTTTCCTATTTCCCCGAGGACTGAATGTTACTGACCTGTTTCTGCAGAGCTTTGATTCATTACTTAAAGGTGCTCTAAAAAACATGTATTCTTTCCTCTTGCAGGCTCCCAGTACGAGTACCAACAGGTATTGCTTCTTTCCCCAATGAAGTCATGCATACTCCTCTGTCTTGGGCACAGAAGAAGTACACCAATATCATCACTTTCAACTTTATGCCCCAAGGTGGTCACTTTGCAGCCTTTGAGGAGCCAGAACTTATGGCTGCAGATATTCAGCAATTCGTAGGGAAAGTGGAAAGGGAAGAATGCTGGAGAGAAATGAGGAAATAACTACTTTGTAGGGTGCTTTTGACTTTCAGCACTTTGAAGCAGGGGTTCCCAAACTGTGTACATGTACCCCTGCAGGTACGAAAGACATCTCTGGGAGGTGAACAGGAGAACTTGTGTAATGGCAAATTTAATTTTCATTATAATAAATAACTGGAATGTAAGGGGTTAAAATATAAAACGTATGCTAGTAGAGGTACATGGGCAGCTGGTAAATCTGGAAGAGGGTATGCAATAAGAAAAAGTTTGGGAACCTCTGCTTTAAAGTTAACCAATAAGGCCTCTGCTATAGTTTGGGTAATTTTACAGCCCATCCTGAAACAACTGTGAAGATGAGTTAAAGCAATGAGGGTAGGAGATTTCGACTGGATCCTGCTCTGCCTTTAAAATCTTATGCAGTTGTAGTTCAGCTTGCAATTTAAAGAAAACCAGAAAAAGTAGGATGAAAAAACACATCACTTCAAACATAGAGATTCTACAATGTAATATCTGGACCATGCAACTTCCCTTTGATTTGGGCCTGACATTGAGAAGACAATCTAATTTTATATCAATTTGTCTTTGGAGATAACTCTTTCTTGCACTTTGATAAGCAGCTCAGGACCAGCAGCTACTGTAACTATAGCTACAGTGTTACTAGCCTGAGCTTCAGCACCACTTGAGCTCTCATAAGCCAGTTGGCTCGAGTTTTAAAGATCATTCAACTCATGTTAGAGTTGTAGTTAGAGCAGAACTCAAGTTATAGCCCAAGCCAGCAGTGCAGTTAAGATAAGTCTTTATAGATAGGTATTAAAGCAGACTGAGGTGTTCAGCTCTTTGGAGGATGCGATTGGTTTTCTTGCCAAAAGGCCAAACACAACATTTTAATATGTAACTAACTGAACTGCTTGCAGCAATTAATCTTTCAATAAAGAAATATATATTAAACTTCTTCTTGGTGAATTTTAAGCCTTTTTCTGAGCAGAAGAAAATTCCTGCTCTGCAGGGATTTTGTTTAACCCAGCCACCAATCACTGACAAAGCTTTCATCAATATTGTATCATACCTGCTGCTATTTACACAATACAAAAGGTCAAAGCAAAGGCAGCCTGTGGTGGAGAACTGAACGTGTAAAGCTGTATGTTTTGCCAGTAGGCTCCACTATTTGCAATTTAACTTCAAATGCTTATGTACTATATCCAGCTAACTAATGTGTTTTATTCCACAGCTATGTCTAATATAATTCTGTATCCTCTCAGCACTGGCAGAAATAAATAAATATCTCTTAACCAATTAATATTTGCATGGATTAGCATTATTACTTTACAACAGTAAATAAAATGGAAGAGTTGAAATAACAAGGCATTATCCTTCCAGCACACAACATTCCTCCTTCCCTGTTCTTCCAGCTGGACAGGCCTCCAGCTGGAAGAATGCAAACATCTTTGTTCAGCAGGAGAGAAGTCAACACTGCTCTCAAAGAAAAGTTTACATTTTAGGGCTTTGCTCAAAGCCACTTGACCTGGTATGAATGGCAAGAGAAAATTATTACTGAAGACTGAGCATTTCAGTCAGGACTAGAGAAATTCTTGGGAAGCTGGCCAAAGAAAGAGACAGCTTTTCCATGCCCGTCCGATTCCCTTTGACATGTTACTTACATGCTAGAGCTCAGCCCCAAGGACAGCAGCTCGGTTCTTGCAGTTGTTCTAAGTGGCATCTTTGTCTGGTGGGCTGCCTTGGCAAACTGAGCACAGGGAAGATTTTAGAATATGAAAAGGGAGGAAACCTTTTTAAAAGATCAGGCTGAGATTCCTGAACAACAGTGAGTACTGATATCTGTGCTTTGCCTCTTTTCATGAGTACGGTGTCCCCAGTTGTGTTCGCTGTCACAGAACACTTCCTGTGTTAGCTGAAATTCTAGTCTGTGAGCCTAAACAGACACAGGACATAAATAAGAATCATCCTCTTATTCCTAGAAAGTTTTTCTTCTTGCAGGGAAGGGTGATGTATAAACTTATTCCAAGCACACTGCAGGAAAAAAGGCACTTCTCTCTGGAGAGTTGATTCACTTGATACTAGCAGCTGTTGGCAGTTGAGTCCTTGGACTCTGGCTGCTTGTTTTTGTCTTCCTTCTTTCTCCTACCCCCACGTGTAGTCTTACATTTCAGGGCATAAGGTCAGCCTGTCAACTTTATAATGCATATGCAGACATCTGCTACAGAATTAGAGAGCGCTGCTGTAAGCTAATGTAAATGAATATTTCTCCAGGGACTGCTCCATCACAGCTCAGACAAAGCAAGCAGGAGGTAAGGTTTGCTATGCACTGTCTGCCAGGTCAGTTATCAGAGGTGAGTAGGTGGAAAGCTCCAAAGCTTGCTTTCCTTTTTTTGCTGCAGTTTCACGTGCATAGGCCTAGCCCACAGGAAAGGAAGCAATTGAGCAGCCTGTTCTTGTGCTACAGCAGCCTTTCCAGGCCCAGTCACGATGAGAAAGCCTGGACAAAGGACAACTAACCAGAAAAAAATTCAGTTTTTACATTCGCCTGATGATGATTCAGCATTCTTTGCACTGAGTAATTTGAGAATATGATGATAAAGCCAGACACAGACAAAGGTGTGCTGCTGCAGCCTATACAACCAATCAGGGTATCATCTGTTCAGAGCAAGATCTAGGTCCACATTATCCATTTCACATGCCAGCGTGTTCTGTTGTTGGACATGCCGTAAACCCAGCAAGAAAATGGAATTGATCAGACTCCTGCCAGCATTCTGGGCACAACATTTAAGGTGTTAAATGTTTATTTAAATGAAGTATTTCTGTTAAAGACACTTTTCTGGTTTTGATCTGTTTTCCTGTCATCTCTCTCACATCTAGATTATATATACACCAACTGCCACAAGAGGCAATGACCGTGCATTTAATTATCAAATGCAGAAACTCACATGGTAAAGCCTGCTTTTTTTTTGTTTAATTTAGACCTACATGTTTAAGTCTGTTAACAAAGGAGATTTAATTAAAACTAGCTTATATCTCTTGCGCACAAAGAAAAGAATCTACAAGTATACTGCTAATCTCTGTTGCTTTGTTATAACAAGATTTATCAAACTGGAAGCAATACTAGTGGTGAACTTACAAATATTTGGTTAAAATTAATATCTACAAGGCAGTGATGAAGATGATTGTTTTACTCTCTTCCTGGACAAAAATCTAACTTAACAGATGGGTTTGATAACTTGATGTCACAACTGCTTTGAGTAATCAAAGATATACCCATTCTCTGCTATGCCCCAGTGCTGAATAGAGGACATCGCTGGGAGTATGGGATAACTATCATAATTGTGTTACATTCCTAAAGGCTTCAAAAAAGAGGGTTTGGGGTTTTTTAGAACAACTTTAAAGTTCCTTATTGGCTAACCGTTGTACCCAATGGATCCAGTGACAAGAAATAATGGTAACATGGATCTGATTTAGCAGTAGCTCCTTTTAGAAAGAATGGGATTGGTCTCTGACCCAGCTGAGCATCTTGGCATTCTGTCACTGATACAGGCCTTGTTCTTTGAAACTGTTCAGCTAGTCCAAGAGCTGTACTCATTACCTGCTTGAACAGTTTCTTTACAGGCCGAATATTCCAATAGTTTGGACATTCAGAAAGAGCAGGATCTTCACCAACCTGCTCATTTGACCTGGGAGTGGAGATCTTTAGTTACTGACCAATTTCACTACCAGGATCCCTCCACCTTATGTTTCTGTTAAAAAGCCAGAGGCAGAAAAATAGCTAAGTTATTTTCAGAAGATTATTTTTTCTGTGAAACCAGTTGGTGAATTCTGAAGCAAAAGTAGACCCTGGGCTTTGACAAAGGAGCTATTGTTTTGTCAAATAGCTGTTTGTCTTGTAACACAAATGATCCAAGTATAGCTAAATCCATGCACCATAAGGAGACCAATTTGCTGGAAGCATTTGTCAAAAAAGCATTCTTCTCTTAAGGCTACTTCAGAGATACTTGCATGCCACACTAAAGAATGGACCTAGCTGACCTAAACCATGTTTTCAGTCAGCTAACTAAAGTTCTTAAAGATTCAGTTATCTTCTAAAGCACTGAAAATAAATAGGATATAATCTTCTAAGTGACATGAGTGTTTGGAAACTTTTAATCTGTTTAATAACCCCCACTAAAGTATTTATTCACTGTTACTGCAACCTCAGAAAGACCATTAAACTCTCACTACGAAAAAGCTGGAGTAGAGACCAGGACTTTCACACAACGCAAACTCCTGTTAAAGTGCAAAATCAAATGCAACTGTAACAATACAGTCCTGGCAAAGCAGATTCTCGTCCCCAGTGGATATAACTCACCACTCTGATTCAGCCAATATTGTTTCGGGGAAAGCAGGATGTAGGTTCTTATCTGTTCACAACAGATTTACATGTTCTTTTACAGCAGGTGCAATATACAAAACATATGAAGATGAATACAGAAGATAAAGAGTTGGGAAATAAAAAACCCTACCAGGTCAAGGACAAAAAACACTCCTAGAAATAAATCCATGCCACTTTCAGGCCAGTTTAAACATGGAAGATACTACTTATTTCACCTGCTTTAAGATGATTTTAAATAATATTACCAAAAACTAATCATCCCCACCTACTTGCCCTTCCCACACATACACTTTAGGGTTCACTCTCCACTCCTAATGAAATGTGTAATCCTGAAGATGTAGTAAGGTGGTTAAGATGATGCTTATGTGGGGCAGGGGATTAGGAACCTTTCAAATCTGGCAGTTTTCTGTGTTCATGAACACAAATAGCTAGAAGTGCTGAACGAACCCTTATTGTCCTGAGGCAACACATAGTGCATAGCACAGGAGTTCCCAATAACTTCTTCCTTCTAAGCTTCAATCAGGAGGGTGGCATCTTTTGTAGCAGCAAAGGGCACTGCCTGGTTCATGCTGATGTGGCAGCTGTGCCTTTGGTTCATCATCATGCAAACACCACCATCTTAAGGGAGCAAATGAAAACTACCAGATTTCAAATAACACTGCCTTTCCCCAGTAAGCTGGCTATTCCAGGCCTAACCTCATGGGGAAAAGGGTTCACTCTCCTAAAATTACTCTGTATTATTCCTGATTTGCTAAATGTTAAAATCCCTACCCTATTAAAAGGAAAGAAGAATCCATTCCTGCAGCCACTGATGGGCACAGGAGGGCCTCAGCTCCATTTTAAAGAGGAGACAGACAGAGGGTATGACTCTCTTCAGATGACATGGCACTTCAGTGGAAGATGTGAAGACAGTACACAGCCAGAGTTGGAGAGATGGCTGGCGTGGGAGCCCACCCTGAGACAATGAAGCAACTTCAAAATCTTAAACTGGGTGCCACTAAGGAAAGAGGCACTCCAGCTCACTAGTTGCTTTGGAAAGCCTTAGCCCATGGCTCCTGCTTCCTGCTCCTGGATATTAAATCACTGTCCTTCACTGCCTCCTTTAGTTAATTTCTCTCTATAGTTCAGGGTAAGTTTTTTAAACACTTATTACAGCTGTTAATATGGAACAGATGCAGATTAGTCTGTTGTCACTTCTTGGTTTAATATTCTACCCCATTATAAGGCCATTGGTTCTCCAATGAAACCATCTCCTCCTCCTATGCCCACAGTCACAGGGCTATACTGTATCCATCCTATTAGAAGAACAATAGGAGTTCATTTTCACAGTCTCTGGGACACCAGGCAAAGTAGGACGAGTGAACAAGCATGCCAGGATTGGAGCTCAGGAAAGTGACAGAAATGGGGATTAAACATTTACTCAGTATTTCTCAAACAAAAACCAAGGGGCCCAGCTCCGCTAAGAGTCTCCCTTCTCTGACTGCAGCGCTGGCTCAGTCCAGCCCAGTGGAATGCATTAGAGGTCACTCCTTTCACCATCCCTTGTGCTTAGGCTAATTCCCTTCCAGCTGAGCCAAGGCACACTCTGCTTCTGGCCTATGGCACTCTCTGCTTGGACAGCGTGCGTTAACCTTTCACCTCCCTGATAATGGAGGGGGTCTGTCCTCCAAGCAGATGTGAAACCGTTTGAAAACTCAGCCTATGTTGCTTGCTTTCTCAACCTACATGGGTGGCTATTACTCTCTAGTGCTTCCCTTCTATGGCCCTAGGGATGAAAGGAAGTCCCTCCCTTCATTTTCTGATCCTTTTATATTGCCCCAAGTAGCCGAGGCTGATAGGAGGTGAGGAAGGATTCTGGTCCCTGTTTGTCAGATGGGGGAAGTTGGGCAAAATTAAACAACTTGCCTTGGGCCTTCCACTGGTTCAGCAGTGGAGCCAAATCCTCCCCCTTTGGCCCCTGGACACCACACTTTCTTTTTTCAAATGGATGAGTGGAAGGTTCATATCTGCTTAATGTGGGTCTTCCTGCTGGAGACACACAGCTACTTGACTTCTCCAAACTCTTTCTTGCTTCCCATAGGAGCAGGTTTCACTGGGAGGCTCCAGCAGATAGCACACACATCTGATTAAAGTACCACATAGACTGGGAACATCATGAAAACAGACAAATAAAAGAAACCTATTCCACTGCCTAAGCTTTTGCTTGTGTACTTATGAGGGCTTATCTTCTATTTTGCTCTATAAAAAAAGACAGCTGCTAGTTCTGCTTAATAAACCACAAAATAAAGGAATACCATACTTCACCTGGAAAGAAGCAACTGGGGGCTTACCAGTCCAGGAGAGCAGGAACTGAGCTGAAAAGGAAAACCTTTAGAAACAATTCACTTCCACTAAGTGCCTGGAAAACATATGTAAGTGTAGGACAGACAGGTAGGTGGGGAGAGCTGTGTAATAATCTGTTGTTTTTGCACTTTCTGCGCATCTCCAGACAACTACCAAAAAAACCCCATACACACAAAAACCCCACATCTGTCTTTCCCTTTTACCCCATGCAAAATTTTCACACCAAAATTACATTGCTATGTAACTTGAAATGAGAGAGAGAGATCCAGACCAGAAACAGATTTCACCTCCATGTTAAAGAGCCCAACTTCAGTGGTTATTGTGAAAATTTTGTTCCTAAGATCCACAGTCTCATGAAGAATCCAGGCTAGAAACACTTACCATACAACATTATAGAGCTGAGACACATTCCTCCTGCCTTTCTCTGCTGTTTCCAGTGGGATACAACATTATGACCTCAGTCATGTAAGCAAGTCAAGAAATATCAGATCTTATGGGCATATCAACAATTCAAGACAGGTACAGGAATCTCATTTTAGTCAGAAGAGTAAAATAGGGACATTTTTAAATCTCCCAACAACTGTTATGCTCTGTAAACTTGGTAGCATGTACAGGACAGAGAATGGGGTGGTACCAAATTTATAGCAGAGCTTTGATTTGCACTACTCAGACAGGCTTCACCACCACTGGCTTACACAGCCATCCTAAACTCACTGTAATGAAACCTTTAAATTCCTACTGAAGCCCAACTTTGCTCAGCCACATCACTGAATCATTGCTTCCTCAACTTATTTTTTATTGACCTGTCTCCAATTTTTTGAACAGCTTTTTACAAAACTATGGCCAGCATTCATCAACAGTCACCCACTCCCCCCACTGCAGGGATGCCATACTCTCTTCCTGCAAAATCCCTTTCTGAGTGGGAGGAAAATGCTGTACATCAGCCTCAGGGAAAAGACCATGCTCTACATCTTAATTCAGAAACCATGGTGACTCAGTCACTTTCCCCTGTGGCTTGCCTAGTAAAGTTATAGCTGCTAAATGAGGGAAGTGATTACATTTAAACTGAGAGCACCCACAATTAAAGCTATTCCAAGAACCGCAGCTGCAAAATGTAGGTATGCAGCACATAAACATGCTTACAAAGCAGTGAATTAGTCAGCAATATTAGGTGAGGAGGCATTATGACAACTGCTGATTTGGCTGCTGTAACAGAAAGGATAGGACCAATACGCAAGGAGAGAATAAGAGAGAAATTCTCCCTCTCCCTGATGCTGTTGTGGTCTCGTGTGCTATTAAACTGCTGCTCCGCTCGAAACCAAAGGAGGCAGCATTTCCAGTGGTACAGGTCAAGGTCTACGTATCATTTGTGAAAACTCTGCAGAGCCTGCAGGACTCAAAACTAGTCAATAACTTTAGACTGCCAATTCTCAAGCAGGGGGATGCAACACCCGGGGCTGCCTTCAGATCCTCTCAAGGCAGCAGTGCTAACACTGCGTGGCACCTGGCAGCTAGGTGTGCAAACTGAGTCTCAAGATAAACCCAGAGATTTTAAACTGGTTTTGACACTCTGGATTCCTTTCTGACCTGTCACGGGCTCTTCTTTGCAACAGAAGAATTATTATTTTTCTATTGTAAAAAAAAGAGTGAAAAACTAGGAGCTGGCATTGTCCAAGGCCTCGAGTCTAATGAGAGGGCCTCAAGTCTAGAATGGTTGAGGACCACTGCACTAGAATAATGATTTCCAGTATGGTGCTTGCAACGGATCGTCCAGCCTCCTAGATTCCTGGTTCATGACACACCACACTTACACACGAGTCACCATTATCACTGCTAATCAGTGCTGGCCCTTATTGAAAGTTGGCTCGTCTTATAACTTGCTTTTGTGACCCATATCACCGACAAACACCTAACAGAAGGAAGGTGCCACCCTCATTTTAAATCATAGCGAAGTTTGGTACAGAGTGACTAAGGGCTGGCTTTGCAAATGTGGCCCCTGTAAGGGGATAGCTGAGCTATGCAGGCAGCTCCCAACAACATTAGTAACAAGGGCCAAGCCACCTGCCTCTTACTACCATATTGCACCTGCCAGGTCACACTCTGCTAATAACATTTCAGAAAGAAATAACATTTTAAAAATAAATATTAAAAAGTTAAAAATATTAAAATGTAATTAAAAATTAAACAACATTAAAAAAACCAATATGTTTTGCCTTCCAATTAATACTTTGACCCCAGGATCCTGCACAGAGTATGCAGGAGGCCTGATTTGTTTTTCTAGAAGGAAGTCGTTCAAAATACAGAGGCCTCAAGCTATTTAACAGAGATGAGGAAAAATCACATTGCTGGTTCTGCCATTTCCAAATGGGGTTACAGTTCTCTTTCTACTCTCTCCATGATTGGCACTGAATATATTTAGCTGCTTTAAGACAGTGAAAATCCTCATTTAAATACCATACACAAGCAACATGCTAGCTATCCTGTTGACCTAAAACCTGGGCTCAAGGTGGGAATTTCAGTCCATCAGATCAATTATAGGCTGTACTAGAGCTTCCCCAGGGGCAGGAGGGGATGAGCAACTATAGAAGAAAACAAATCCTGCCCCAGGAGAGGTAAAAGCTTATAGCGTCAAACAAGAATCCAAATTTATTTCCCTGGGAGCTGCAAGCTACAAGTTTGAAGAGATTAGTAATGGAGACGCTGATGAGGGCAAGGTAGTGTCATGTACTGTGCCAGCAAATTCAGGAAGCCTCATTTTCTACGTTCCGTCTCAAGGATTAGATGTTAATGCCTGGAGTCAGCAGTAGAAAGACAGCTGGTCCTGATTCACTCTCTTATCAAGGGACAACTGCTTAAGGACTGTATTGACAAGACCAACTTGAGAGAACCCAGCAACTCTGCACTTGAATGAGAGAAATTGGGTAGTTGTACTTGCCGCAGCTGAGATCCTATAACTCTGCACACAACCCAGACCAATTTTGATGTCAGCTAAGACACAAGAGCCAGGAGATGCATCTACAAGCCAGAGAATTACAGGGAGAGTGCCATCTTAAACTGACACAACGGGTCAATTTTCACTGCATCTGCCTTTACTGGCTTGTTCATTGTTATGATCTGGTGAACAGCTGTTCTTAGGCTAGGAAAGAACTTGAGCTTAGCCAACCGAAGTATGTCAAGTAAACGTTCACAGCTGTTCTGGGCAGGGGACAGAGTCTCCTGCTAAGTCCACTCAGGATCTGACAGACAAAATATTGGTCCGGTCCCATTAGGAACCTGGGTATTCTTGCTCTGTTGGAGAGCTAGCCGTCATTAAAAGGAAAGCATTCTCCCTGACTGAGGCCCATCAGTCACTAGCACCAAGGCTTTGTACTTGCAGAGGTTCACAGATACAGCAGGCCCGGGCCCTGTATGTCAGAGTCTGCTGCCATCAGTTGGTGCTGATAAGTAGACAGGATAAAAATCTTGCACAGAAGCCTTCTTATCCCAGCTACCTGTGGTAATAAATTTAGTCGGGCTTCTGGCCTACTTGACTAGAAAAGCAGACAAAGACCAGAAGAGCTGATACTGCTTATTTCAGGTTACATGTTTTGAGATAAGGAATCCTGCATGTCTTATTACCCTGTGCACAGATGTCCAATTAAGTAAACTTGTTTTAGTTTCTCCAAGGTCGTATTTTTTTTCTCTTTATCTGTCTTAAGTATAAAAATGCTTGACAATTTAGAGAGTCTGAGAAATCCTTTGAAACAGACAAGTGGGTGATTCCCCTTGCTGTATGAAATCCTCCCTGTGATCACAGCATAACCCTAAACAAAGAAAAGCTGGCTTTGTCAGTTCTGATTCAACCACAACCCAAAGTTTGATTTCTTCCACAATTTGGTGCTGTGACTCAAATAGAGATGCCTGGAGTGATCAGTTGAGACACAGACATCTCTTCACTGAAGATCTGGCGCCAAACTAAGGTAAGAGACCTTTTGAAATCTCTATTGGGGCTTTTCAGTGAGAGGCTGTCTCTGTGTCTTCCTGATTCACTGCTTGAGGCTCACCCTATCCAAACTTTTTTCTGCCAGAACTGTCAGACCCACCATGTAAGTAGTAACTGTGAGTAGAAAGAGTTAAGGTTAAAGACTCTGTGTTGCTGTTGTCAATGAAAGTATTTCCCCGTGTGAAC